GATGTATTTGGCATGGTGGATTTGGAAATGAGAGGGATTGAGTTGATCGAGGATCATTGCTTTGATGGAGATCGGTATAAATAAATGAAAACTAACGTTGATAATATAGTGCGGAGGCGAGAGCAGGCGATAGAGTTTGTAGTTTGGGAGAGAAGCCTTATTTGTAAAAGATTTGGCATGGAAAAGAACTCTGGAAAATGGAATTGAGTAAATGAAGTCGAAAGATATAAATGGGTAGATGGGTCTAGAGTTCGAGATATCTAGTTATCGGTTGTCATTGGCTCTCCTCGATCGTTAGCTCAATCGGGAGTCAAGAGTTCGGATCGTCTAACTAGTATCCTATCAACTACATCAGCAAGCAAAATAAAGTTCTATATAAACTACATTCAGCTCCTGATCATTTTCTCTTCAAACCACAACTACATGTGTTGATTCAGGACATAGGGACTCTCCCTTTAATCACCTGCTGTAACTTTCATTCTCTGAAGCCGTCCAAGTGAATGGACTGGACCTTCCTTCGACGAATATCACAAATTCAATTTCTACTGTCAGTAGTCTCCTATTTTGTTCTGTTGTCACTTTCGATAATCGTGTGCATATGCACATTACCCATCTTGACTTTCGCCTGTATATCTTTCTCCCTTCCATTCCATGATCCCATGAAACAATCACACGAGCAAAACTCTATAGGTTTATTTCATTCACGTACTTCGCACAAATGAAAATCTAGTTCTTGGTCTTTCCATGTATAATGGTGAATGAGATGTCAGCCCACTCTCATGAAGCCAAACTCAAACTCAAACTCAAACCAATCTGAATCTTTTATAGAAGAGATTCGATACCACAGTGAGGAATTCACTTCAGGGTCCATCGAAAGGTATGATCCACTTTACGATTCCTTGTCTTTATTAAACATCCCATCCCTCACCCCATATTTTTTTTCACTTCTCAATTGTATACCCCTCGAGAGCATTGGGCCCTAAGGACTAGCTTGTGGAGGGAGTGATATAGAACTGAATTACAGAAGGTTTTTAGTGTCTATCAATAACACTTTCCTACCCACCCCACTGTCAATATCAAGATGTGAAAGTAGAAGCGCTCAATTGATTTTCGAGATATATTACTTACTGTCATCAGAATGTATCACTGTCGTTTCATTCCAGTACTCGCTGTCGTCGTGTGAAAACCCACTATCATATACTCACACACATCAACACAATACTAACATCTCACTCATATGCATCTCAAGCAGTTCCAACACAGCCGCTAATACACATCCATCCCATTCTATCCCATCCCATCCCATCCCATCCCATCCTATCCTATCTCATCCTATCCCATCCCAATAAATACCAAAAGATATCTATCTACACAGAGCAAACCTTTTCAAGTCGAACTATCTAACCATATTGAGAATTAGCAATAACAGAAAATACCCTCACCTATAATCTACTTGCTACCATCTCAGTCTCACCACTACTACCGAAAATGACTCGCAACTCTCGCTATGAATTTGCTCATTCGACGTCATGGGATTACATATATCCAGGGAGTTCGCTTATTCACTATCACTACATATCACCAGCCCCGCGCGCCCCCTTGTTTCTTTCCTTCAGTAAGGTACCTAGGTATGACATGCTCTTCACCATATCCGACGTATTAAAAGCTTCTGCTCTCATCAATCTGCTCTTGATAAATAAAAAAAAATGTTGAATCTATTTTTGCGGCTACAACCTCGTCTATCGCGCAATCTCTTCGACGCGGCGAAGCCTCAAATTTACATCCTCTCGTCTAGCTTCATCAATGAGTATCACACCATAGTAGTTGTGGTCTCAATCCTTATCATTTTAAACGAAAACCTGATAATAGTATTGGTCTTATCTCATGTATACACGCTCCTATGCAGCTATGAATACATTTACCCCAAGAAGCGGGCAGTAAATAATCGCCATATAACACCTTCAACCGGCTGGCCATTCATTCAATCATCGCAATGCCGGAAATGTCAATAGAAGTGATCCCTGAGCACTCCATTTCATTCGACCTTTTCCCGCCCAGTCCAAGCGCCTATGATTAGCCAAAAGATTTCCCGAAGAAAGGATAGAAGATTCATCTCTAAACTCAACCCCTATAATTCATCCCCCATCTCTCTCTCCAACCCCACTCCGCCCCTTTCTTCCTCTAGATTGGCGATCAACGCATCCAAACCCTCATCACTAAGTCCACCTTCTCCCTCATCCACTCCCAAATCCCTAACAATAACCCTCTTATAAAGTTCTCCCTCATCTCCACCACCTGCAACTCCAAGCGCTCCAATATATTCCCCTACTAACGCCCTTCTCCTCTCAATTTCCTCTTGTAGTTGCTGAGCTACCATGATCCTCTCATTTTCCCCTTCCTCTAAATCTGCATTTCCATTGACTTGACCTCCTCCATGACCATTTATTTTTGATCCTTCATGTTGCGTGCGGGAAAGAAGGAGAAGTTGTTGTTGTCGCTCTACTAGACTCTGAACTCTTTCTTGTAAACCGACTAGATGCGCTTTTGCGGCGGTGGAATTTTCTTCACCCTCCTCTTCTTCCGCCAATTGCCTAGCTTGCTCTCTGACCCCCGCTAATTCCATCTTCACCCCTTCTAAAATCCTCTTGCTATCTGCCTCTGCATTTTCTTTTTCTGCCAATTCTTCATCAAAGCTACAAGCTAACGCATGCAACCTCTCCAGTAAAATCGGCTCCGCATTATTTTTAAGAGTCATTGCTGCTTCTGAAATGTGGGCAACCCCTCGAGGATTTTCCTGTTCAAGATCATCATAGTGAGAAATATGACGTGCCGAGTCTGGTGCAAAAGGCGAAGAAGAAGCGGCTTGTTGGTGTCTTTCCGATCTACGGGAGGCGTTCAAGTCTTGGATTATTTCTTCGGCCGTCTCGCCCATATCATTTAGAATATCTGTTGAAGCACCACGACCCATTAAAGCTCGTACACATTTGCGGGCTTTATTTTTGGCCGCGATATGAATTGCTGTGTTTCCATTAATATCTCGAGCATCTAGTAATCTTTGAACCTCATCTGGATGATAAATTTCAATAAATTTTTCCAAAAGAACATCCAGATAATATTGAGCGCATCTGAACTTTTGCTTCATGTTGGTGGTCGCTGCTGCATGATGAAGAACTGTAGCTCCACACGAATCTACTTCATTGGCAGTACCGATCAATTCCTTAACAATCAGAGGAAAATTCTGCTTGTCATAAGAATTTGTGAAAAGGACTGATCTAATGAGTGGAGTTTCTTGACGACTGTTCCGACACGTTGTATTCGCACCGAATCTCTTCAGTTGTTTTAATATATCCACATCACCTATTGATGCAGCCCAATGTAAACCCGTATGACCATCTGTGTCGATAATGAAGTTGGGCTCGAAATTTATTGGTGGTTCGGGTCTTCTATCTGTCGAGTTCGCATCGGTGGGAGGTGCCATGAAATAATCCAAGAGTTCATCAGCCCACATAAGATGAGCTTGTGCTCGAACATCCACAGGGTCTTCTTCATGAAAATCATCTCTTTCACCTCTTTTGCGCTTTCGATGCCCAGTAGGTGGTTGAGACATATCGAATCGATCATCTTCTGCCATATATGAAGCGGAAGCAACTGTAACATCATCTGGCACACTTTCATCGTCATTTAATTGAGTGCTAATGTTATCGTAATTTTCTTCGACTTGGCGGGGGACCGCTGCTTGTTGAATAGGTACCGGTTCTGTGCTGTTAGTACAATCTACCAAAATTTAGACCGGGAAACTCACTGGCTCCCCATTTCGGTACTGCAGGTTTCTTGACCTTTGGCTTATTCGTGGCATGTTTTGGTGCTGGAGGTGGACTAAATTCACCAGGTGTATATTCGAAGATCTCCCGGAGTTTTTCATATATATTGTTCCTTTGTGCCAAAGATTGACCTTTCTCAAGAGGAACCCAAGTACCTAATTGGTTTTAGTCTTGCCAAACTCTTAAATTTCTGGTGCATGCCAACCTTGATATTTCCCATATCCACCTTGAATCTTCTCATGTTCTTCCTTCTGAACCTCTCTTTCAAGAATTCTTGTTCTGGCAGGTTTATCGAATCCAGCAGCTTTTAATATATGTGTCGCATTGATCCAATCATCTTGTCGTCTTCGCATTACTGTGTAAATGTTAGTGACGTCAAGTTTGAGGCTGGGAGCGGCATTGCAATTACCATGTTCTTTGAGAGCCTCTCCGAACAAGTACTCATACACCGGAACCTACTCGTAATCAAGTCAGCGACAAGGAAAAAGCAGACAATGTCTAGCGCATCCGAGCAGGTATACATACATTGCTGTAAGTAGCAGAGTAAATCCCTGGTCCAGATTTGGCTCCAGTGTTGACCATAATGTCACCTTAAATGGGTCCCTGTCAAATGGAGGGGTTTGCGAGTGTGCGAATAGCAAGTGGATGTTGAGATTGTTCAATACCCGCACTAAGCAAATGTGTAAATAGGGAGAGCAATCACAATTATGTTGCAAATATCTGCGCTAGATAAATTCAGGGCAATTGATCCCGATTCTTGATATAGATGCACAGGGCGAGGTTGAGAAATTGTAGTAATCTGAGAAATTGATTGTGGGAAGACGCGACGATGTTCAGGATGACGCGAAGCGCGTTGATTCTGGACCGAAATCTAACCGAATATAGGAACAGCCGACGCTGTTTTAAGGAGTCTTCAAGATCATAAAGTGAATCTGATACAAGCTATGGATGGGATGAGACAAGTTGAATGTTCTTGTAAATGGACTCGATATTTTGTACAGTCTAAACTATAAAATCGATCAGCATAGAATGAATCACGAGACTGCAGTCTTTAATGGCTTCTCAAGACTAAATAGCATTACGGATATGAACTTTAAGTGATTCTTTGCTTCTTGTCTTGTCATCTACGAAAGCAACCGTATACCTTGGCGCTAGTCTAAATGTAAATCTACTCTATGCCTATACGCCAAATAGTGCCTTCCTAGTATCATAATCATACTTCAAATCCAAATGCCAATAATTTGGTGTATCTGCTTTACAAACCTCCCAAGCCTCATCCAAAACTTTCACTACTTCTTCGGGCAACGGTCCCTTCTCACAATCTTTAAGATTTGAATCTAATTGTTCAATACTGCTCGCCCCCATGATAATTCCATCGTCCCCATTCAAAACATTCAGTGCACTATGATGTATACACCATCTAAATGCAGTCTCCACCATTGTCAAGTTGTGTTTTTGAACGACTGGTTCGATGAGTTTCAATGCAGCGAAGTTCGATTCCTTCCAATAGCGTTTTCTGTACATTTCGCCCAACTTTCCCACGGAATCGCTATAACGTCCACTAGTTGGAATTTCTGATGACTTGTAGGCTCCTGAAAAGAGACCACCTGCGATGGGGTTGTAAATGACGACGGAAATACCGTAGCGCTTACAGCATGGAATGAGTTCAGAAGCTAGGGAACGGGTAATGGCGTTATACATTCCTTGGTATACTGTTGGCCGCACCCAATTGTTGTATTTGCAATGCATGACTATTTCTGAGACTTCGAAGGCTGTGAAGTTCGAAAGTCCTAGGTTGACAAATTTGCCTTGTTTGTGGAGTTTGTCGAGAGCCGCCAATGTCTCTGTAAAGGGCGTTGCACGATCCTACACATCGCTATCAGTACTCCTTCATATTTCAAATGACTGAGATGAACCAACAGCAGCGTGCAAATAGAATATATCCACACAGTCCGTCCCCAACTCTTTCAAACTCGTCTCAAATCTGTTCGTTATTTCTGCCTCTGTATGCAATCCCGCTTCTGTTGGATAGACTTTCGTGGCCAGTGTTAAGCCCCTTTCTTGCCATTTTGCTTCGCGTGTGAAAGCTTCTTGTTTCCCTCCAACGTATGTACGTGCGGTATCGACTTCATTGTATCCGGCGCCTTGAAAATGGTCGAGGAAGGTATTGTATTCATCTAATGAGGTTATGCGTGCGCCGGTGGATGGGTCTGGACCAAAGTTCATAAGACCAAGAATTATTCGAGGTTTGGGGTTAGTAGCTATGAGAGGCATTTTGAGGAAGTGGAATGAAAAGGGAGAATGGTTCTTGCTTGACGAGTGAGTGTTATGGTATTCTTGTGCTTCAAGAGTCAAAGTGAAGTTTTGAATGTAGCATTAGATATTGGGTATGAATACTGTATGATACTGTGTGAAGATGAACATTCACATTCCTGTACAGAGTACTATGGTAGATGGCGGTAGTAAAGAAGGTTGAATGTAGTGTAGTGACGCCACTTTGTTCAACCCCGCATCACTCACCCCACCTTCACCATCACGACAAACACCGACGTACCAAGTAATACATCGGTGACATCGGTGATACGTTTGAGATACATCTGGAGGGTATTCAGATTCATTGAAAGCCGAGGTTGAGAAATGCTGGTTGGATCAGGCTTGTATGAGACGAGTTGTATGCATGCAATATCATGCCAATAATCTTGGATGAACTCGGAAAGTTTCTTTGATGATAAGGTCAAGAAGGTCGCCGGTTATGCGTTGCCCTTTCTCCTTTCTCCTCGAGTGCCATGCCATGATTAAAGGCTGAAGGCTAGATGGCCTTTCCCGTACAAGCTTCTTATTATTGTAGAATGAAAGGCAATGAAAGTTTGATATAAGCGGTTATTTGGTCGTGGTAGTACATATTAGTGGTAGTCGGAGAAGAAGAGGTATGAGTATCAAAAAGAAAATAGTCCAGATTCCTGACATCCAAGCAACGATCACCTATGAATACCTCGTAATCCAAATTGAATTCGAGTAACCACACTTCTTCTCTTGATCATTCTCTGATCATCCTCTGTACAACGAGGTAGGTACCTCAACCCACCTCTCAACCAGCAGCCTACCTTTTTATTAGCCATCCAACCCACCAACCCACCAACCCACCCACTACCTATTTATATATCCAAGATTTGAGATCTCTTTGGTAACCTGCACCGCATCATTAGCCAGCAGACGGAATCAAATTGATTAAATCCAGGTCGTTTGATTCGTTCACCAGTTCCCGTGGGTCGAGACATTATCTGATATCTGATAATTCTTTTTGATTCAGCCAACCACCAGGGTCTCCCTCACTCTCTGCTTCATATTACCTATCACGTGCCTATCCACTTTGATACTCGACTCTTACGCTTTACCTACGCTTTACATATCCATATCCATATCCAACCCCATATCCAGATCCATTTGCTTAAAGAATGACGACAACAAGTTCGCATTGATTGGTCTTCAAAATTCTCCTTTTACTGTTACAGCCAACTTTATGCAATCAATCCCATTTTATTATCTCCTTCACCTACGGTACAGCTACTGTCGTTAAAATCGCCAATAAAAAAATCAATTCACGTCAAAATTCCGAAGCCAACCCACTCACGAAATCCACCCTGTCAGTCCTGATTCGAGATTGTCCATTTCATATCTTAATTGATTATTCCGATATCAACCACCCCCTCTACACTTAAACTTATCATTTCACCCACCTGAATCGCATGTATGTCTTATAGAAATCACCAGACATCCTCCAGTACACATGAATTAAATCCAACAACCGGATTACAAAACAACTCGTGGAAGACCTCGAATCCCATATCTGGAAATTCTTCAAGGGTATCCTCTCGCAGTCCTACCGTTCGGACTCACGACTTCGCACATCAAACACGGGAAAGAGAAGTGTCACCAATTAGTCCATTGACCGACGAAGAAGCAGGTTCCGATTTAGAATCCGACGACGATATGGAAGGACGAAGACCTCCACTACATCGTCCTACAGATGGCCGTTCACATCAACCTCTATTACACAAAAATGATGATCCCGAGAGGGGGAGGTTAGGATACAATGCTTCTCAAGATCCACCCGAACGTCCTGCATTTTCGAGACGATCTACTATGCGAAGTCGTAGTCCGGATACTCAAGCAAAATTAGATACGAGAAAGAAATATACATATGCAGCCTTCTTTTTGGGCTTGAGTTTGATTAGTTTCGTTATACAAACCGAAACGGCAGTGTATATTCAACATCAATTAGGGTGGAACAAAGCATATTGCATGTTGTAAGTAGTGGCGCCTATTTCACAAAATTGCAAACAAACCTAAATGGATACTCTAGATACTTTACTCACGGATCATGGTCATTATTATGGCCTACTCAACTTCTAATATTGCGATTACAAAAATGGAAAATGCCATGGAAGACATTCTGGAGAAGACACGTATATCTCATTCGAACAACCGCCCAAATGGTAGAGTCAGGACAACTAGACGTTCCGCGAGGCCAACGATCTCCAATTCCGTATATGCTCAGAATGACCGCATTCGTTACATGCGCTCTCACAGTTGCTGGTGGATCATGGTACGTGGCAGTGAATTTAACATCGCCATCTGATCTCACGGCTATATATAATTGTTCGGCTTTCTTCGCATATGCATTCAGCGTTCCCCTTTTGAAAGAACCTCTTAGATGGGATAAATCTTTCGCAGTTATGGTTGCGATTGTTGGAGTTTTGATCGTGGCATATGGAGATTCTACGCCCACGAAACATGGAGGAAAGTCTGGAGGCTCAGTTGGTGGAAAGCCTGGCGATGAAGATGATGAGGCATCAAATAGAGTTTTGGGCAACCTTGTTATTGGTGTTGGCAGTGTTTTATATGGATTCTACGAAGTTTTGTATAAGAAATTGGCTTGCCCCCCAGAAGGAACAAGTCCCGGGCGCGGCATGATATTCGCAAATACATTCGGCTCACTAATCGGTTCATTCACTCTTCTCGTTCTCTGGATTCCTCTCCCAATTCTTCATCTCACTGGACTTGAAACCTTTGAACTTCCCCACGGCGAAGCGGCTTGGATGCTCGCCATTTCCGTCCTCGCAAATGCGACTTTCTCTGGAAGTTTCTTGGTTTTGATTAGTCTTACAAGTCCCGTTCTAAGTAGTGTCGCTGCACTATTGACAATTTTCCTCGTCGCGATTGTGGATTGGGCATTCACGGGGGTACCATTGAGCCCGGCAGCTATTTTGGGGGGATTGTTGATTATTGTGGCATTTTTGTTACTCAGTTATAGTACGTTTAGAGAAATGCAGGAGGAGAGGAGAAAGAGAGAAGTGGATCTGAGTGAGAATGATTCGGATAGTGATAAATTCGATGATTAGACAGACATCCTTCAGCGGACTGGTGGTTTATAAGGCGGGTGGCTTCTTTATATAGGATAGGATTGCATTACATTTGGATCGGATAGATCCATTTGGGTTAGAGGATTGTTTTTGGGTACGTAACCCAGGTATTGGGAATTGCGTATAGGTATAGGCCAATCGTATGGCAACTTAGAGTTTGCATCTAGATGGCGCAGGCGTTTCTGGACATCATATCGTACCTTTCAATGGAGAATTGATGGGTTTTTGTTTCTGGTCAACTTACTTTCTGCGACTTGCATGTGAAATGTGAATTGTGCTGTGTATGTGTATGTGTATCTTTCGAAATTGAAAAGTGTCTCGTTGTTTGAATATTTTAAAGCGACTTGCTGGGGGCGAGGGCGGGGGCAATGGGAAAGGGGAAAGGGAAAGTAATCTCGTCTCGCTCTTGCTTATTGACGCTGAGAAAAAGAAGAGAAATAACACTGCACAAATCGCACATCGAAATAACTTGATCAATTCACCGATGGATTGTATGTGGTGAATGGGGTATTAGATGATGTAGTCAGTCGTTTAGTCTTAATGAAGGGTTCTCAAAGACACACATTTCCATCTCGTCCCAAGAGCCAAAATTGCACATCATATATACACCTATCATTCTATACATCCAATCCAATCCAATCATTCCATTCCACCTTACATAGGTACTTCTCCATAGCATTCAACGCTGCTCATGGTTCCCCCGGCCAAATTTCCCCGGCCAATCTCCTCACCAACTTCAATTTCTCCACCATATCGCCCCTCTCCATATTATTCCCATCGGAATGACTCGCAAATCCACACTGGGGACTCACACCTATCCTCCTCAACGCATCTTCCCTCGTCTCTTGATTCCCTTCCGCGATCTTATCAGCCGCTTTGAAAACCCGCTCCTTCAGATCCTCCAGAGACTCCATCTTGGGAACTTTACTCGTGATCAATCCCAATATGACATTTTTGTTCTTGGGGAGGTGAGCGAGCGGTTCGAAACCTCCTGCGCGCGCGGTGTCGTATTCGAGGTAGTAGGTGTTGACGTTTAGATCTTGGAATAGTTTGGTCGCGATAACATCGTATCCGCCTTCGGAGAAATGTCTCCCGTTTACGAAATTGCCGCGACAGAGATGGATGCCCACGTGCATATCTTGAGGGCGATCACGCAAACAATCATTGTAGAGTTGGATGTAGGAATCGAAGAGGGCGTCTGAGTCTTCGCCGTCGTGTTTGAATCCCGCGAGCATTTTCTCGGAGCAGAAGTAGGCGAGATTGGGGTCGTCGATTTGGATGTTGCGCAGGCCGGCGGAGTAGAGGATGCGGAGTTCTTCGCGGTAGGCGGTGGCGATGTCGGCGAAGTATTCGGTGTCGGAGGGGTAGATTTCTGGGGGGTATGCGTGTCCGGTTTTGTAGCGGAGATGATACCAGTTTGGAGCTGCGAGGGTGATTTTGGCTTCTGCGATTTTGTCGGCGGGGAGGAGAGTTTTGAGGTACTTCCATTGGGAGAGGTAGGTGCTTCCGATGTGTTTTATTTTGCCGGTGCAGTAGACGGATTCACCGGGTTTGTGACCTTCTTCGAGGAAGGCATCGATGTCGGGGACGTAGCGGCGGAAGGATTCGAGAGGGGGGTTTTGAATTTCTTCGAAGCCTTGGAGGCCGGGGAAGAAAGTACCCCTTGTGTTGAAGATCAGTGTGGGGTTTGGGAATATTGTGTTGTATTGAAGAGTGAGGGGAAAGGAAGGGGGAGAAATGAAGGGGGGGCGGAATGATCCGTAGTCACATACCAGAACATGTGACGACGATATTCTCCATCTGTTACAGCGTGAAAGCCCAAGTCTAGCTGTGCTTGAACGATTTCATTGATAGATACATCTTCTACTTTTGTCAAATCTTCTTGGGTAACATTACTTTTTCCCTTGTCGAGAGCATGTTTGATGGATAAGAGTTGTTCGGGACGTAGTAGAGATCCGAGATGTTCTGCTCGGAAAGGAGGATTGCGATGAAGCTTTTCGGAAGACATGATCGAGGTAAGTAAATGTTGTAGTCTAGGATATAAGTGAGAATGGGAATCGTATTTGAGCAATGAATATGAGGTAATTGAGCTGTATTTATATACTCATACCAGGCCAGCTGTTGGACCCTCACTCAAGCAGCTTCCATCAATGCCGCGACGACTTGTCTAACTGCCCCTCCCCAACTTTCAATCATCCCCGCAACAATTGGAGATCTAACTGTTGATCTCGATATAAAGTAGTTTAGTTCCCCGCTTGGTGATACCTTAGTAAGGGCTAGCCATGCAGGTCCGGATCGGATGGACTTGCAGTCAACTTCTTTCCATGACATACAAACAAGCCATCTTGCAGAAATTGCAATTGTAACTCGGAGTTGGGTTAGCAATGGTTGTTGTAGATATTAGATGATTTCAAATAAGTTGTCAAGATAGACTTCTTCTAATTGTTCTTATAGGAATGTAAATTGAATTCCAGAAACCATCAATACATGTAAGTCTCTCCTTCTTAGTAGCTGGCCCACACGGAAACGAAACCCCCCTCCCTCACCCCTCATTGGTGGCGAACGATATATGTCATATATGTGTAAGCAATCCCCCCTGTTCTTTGAAAGTACTGGTTAAGTGAATCTACCCACCTGGTATCCATCAATTACCTGCATATTCGATTACAAGCTTACGATATATTTAGATAATACCTTGGAGAGATACGACGTATGAGAGGTTGTATTCCGTGAACGGCATCCGTTTCCTTATCGGAGGTCCAGGAGAGATCCGAAAGCCGTTGCTGACATATATTTCCTTTTTGGGTATGTACCTAGGTAGGTAGCGATTTGCTCCATTATTCAAATCCACAATTCAACTGACCGAACTATTGGAAACAACCTGTTCAATTCAATAATCATCTTGAGTCTTCATCCTTTCAACCTCTAACATCCACGAAAATGACTTCTGGCCTTCCTCCTTCAAACCCAAATGGTCTCGAGGATCTTACCATTGGCAACAAATCTACAGAAGTACCGTCAATTCAGCCTCAGACGAATCAATCAGGAGATACCCTGATATCCCACGTTACTCCACATACAATTCCTGGAGCCGTTACGAAGCAAGGTCCCACCATTGAAGATCTTCCCAATGAACTTCTAGTCAATATCTTCAGTCACTTGGATATAGAACCTCCATCGTATTCCCATACGACACTTCATGATGAGCCAACCTTGGAAGTTACCAGCTCCGAGATCCAAGACCTCAAGAACTGTTCTCTAATTTCGAAACGATGGAGACAAGCTACCTTACGTTTACTATTCAAACACACACGATATATCTTGAAATATTCAGAAGATGATTGTAGACCAATTCTCAATGATTTGACAGGACCTTTTCGTCAATTCATTCGTAAAGGATCTTTTGCGGATATTGTGTCAAGCTTCACCTTGGTAGTTCGGGAGAAAACGATATCAAATTGTCATGATGGCCGACCTCGATTATGTGAATTTGATGGGTTTTGGAAACGACTCTTTAACACGATTGATCCATCGACGGTTTTGATTGCTGCGCCTGTTGAGGCTCTTGCTTCTTTGACTTCATCTACCATTAATGACGTGGATTCATGGGTTTTTGACATTGAATGTCACTATTTGCGATTGCAAAGACCCGAATCCAAAGAATTAGTCCTTACGGAGATTGAGGTTTTGCCTGAAGAAAGTGGTCCCACCAGATCTGGCCCTTCAGTTTCTGGGACATTACAAAACCCAGACTATAATTTTGAGGATCGCTTGCACTATATTTGTCCTGCAGGTCGTGTTTCTGCCAAGTCCTCGGAATTCTTTCAAATCAGATCTTGGACATCCTTACTCTTAAATGAAGGATCGAATTTAAAGGCCTTCAAAACAGATTTGTGGTGGGAATTAGAGACTCCATCTGTAAGTAGATCACCAATATAAAGTGGAGGTATTCATCTAACTTTCAATAGATATTAAGAAGTCTTGTCGGAACTCAATCAGGTACTTTACCCTTGATCAATCCTGGCATTCGTTCCATGAGATACATTGCTATATTTCCAATAACAGCTCAATTCGAATGTCTCGCCCAAGGATTGCCAAGACTGGATCATTTGTATTGTCAACTGGTACCACGAAATGATGCTTTAGAAGACGAAGAACTAATGAAGAAGATTGATGTGGAGGATCTGTGGATGGAGAGAAATAATTGTTATGCTCAATTAATGCGAGAAATGTTCAACAATCCACCTGAAGGAAATTACAGATATCTGAAGACTTTCGAGTCAGGAGATGCTGCAGATACAGATGCTTGGCATATGGCAGTAGAGTTCGTGAAGCGGGCTGGAGGAGGATGGAAGATAACAGGTGATGGAGTATTTGAGAGAGATACGGGGATTGAAGATAGTTCGTCTGATGCACCGAACGCTTCGCCATTGTTAGTAACTTGAGGGAGTTCGAGATGAAAAGCTGATTATTATTAGTCCGGACGAATTGTATAGATGGGCATGGAATGGGTTAACCAATGTACCTGTTTCACCGGTGCTATGGTATCGATGATTGGTGTTGAAGACGTGAGGTATATTGGGTACATGGAAAACAGAGAAAGATTCAAGGAAAGGGATATTTAACACTGTGGCCCATGGAACATCAGAACAATCATCCTTAACAGATGCCAGTAAATGGATACTATTTGTAGAAATTTACAACAATATCAAGCGGCACAAATTCTACCATAGTGAACCAGAAGTATAAAAATTGGCAAATGTCAATGTTCCTGAATCACTTGAACAATAACTTGTCTCACCGCCTTAATAATTCTGCCATATCGACTCAATATCAACCTCCGAACGCGATAACCTCAACCTCATCTACTTTTCTACCATGTAACAGCCATGTCCCGCAAAGCGCCCAAAGGCGAATATATTGAAACCGTAAGCTATCCTCACCTTGTTATCATGTTCTCTCCCCCGCTTCAACCTTGACTTCCTATCTCATCCTCAATCCAAGTACTAAACCCCTCCAGGACACCGGTAACAAAGTCTCCCGTCGTTCCCAAATAATCGGCACAACGAACATTATCCTCGGTGGTAAAACGGTAATTCAAGCAGAAGTCATCATCCGCGGTGATTTATTACGCACATTACCTCCTAGTACCCAAGGAGAGAAAGCGGGAAACGCAGTTGCGGTTGCGATTGGGAGATACTGTTTTTTCAGTCGCGGGTGTGAGTTGAGACCGCCGGGGAAGATTTACAGAGGGTTTGTTTTGTTTTTCTCATTGCCCTTTGTTTCTCTGGCATTTTGGTATCTTGTGAATTTTACTAATGAGATTTGGACAACAGAACTTTCTCGTACTTTCCCCTCAAAATCGGCGACCATGTTTTCGTAGGACCCGGCTCGATAATCGAAGCTGCGATGCTTGGGAATCATGTTCATATTGGTGCGAATGTTGTGGTGGGAAAGTTTGTGATAGTGAAGGATTTTGTGAAGATTTTGGAGGGGACGGTTGTTCCGCCTAATATGGTGATACCTAGTTTTAGTGTGGTGGGAGGGTGTCCGGGGAGGGTTGTGGGGGAGGTGGCGGAGGGGGAGATTGAGGGGATGGATTTGAGGGAGATTTATAGGGCGGTGAGGAATTAAAGGACTGGATGGAGTGAGGGTTGAATGGGGTGGCTGAGAAATGAGATGAGGGTTGATGGTATGAATGATCATACGATTGTAGGATTGCAACAGAGATGAATAAGGGATAACGGCCTCGAAAGTCGGATTGAACCGGCAAACTTCGACATAGATGAGAGAAAAATGATACCCAAGTACTTGCGCACATTCATAGAAATGGTCAGTGATTTCAGATGCGAAGGTCTTCTCATTCTTGATTTTCAGTCTTCTTCTGTATACCGTCCGTTAGTGATAGCATCTTATTATCTGCTCACGCTGATCCACATCTTGGATGTTGTTTGTCAAGAGCGCTACGTTCTTCAGGGTGGCTAGTTCTCGAACTAAAAATTTACAGTGGCATGTGCCACAAACCTTTTGCAAGCTCTACTTTATTGAGCTTGACTGTACTATCTTTAGTTGGGATTTTATGGCGGGATTAAAACGCTCCATAATGGTCAAAGGAGCTGGATCAGATTCGGCAGTGCTTTCAGCCATCATTCAGTTACTTTGATGTACATAGACAGGCGACATTCTGTTTCAAACACTTCAGAACATAGGAAAGGATTTACGGATCCGACATTTCCGATGTGTACCAGTCAAGTCAAGTGGGAGTATCAGAATGAAGCAATGCCAATGTCTTCCTGCTTTTCAAAAGCACATTGGCCATTATGCTCTCTTTATTTCATGAATACTGTGTCCGAAAGCCCCTTATCTTCTCAAGAGCCGGAATAATGTCTGGTAAAGAAGCAAACCAAGCATGGATTTTTGAGGCGTTGCTAGAGAAAAGTGGTGATTGTTATATAGAAGCCATTACCTCACAAAGAACGGGATGCATCGCTATGCCTGGAAGGGCGCATGTATTATTGCCTAAGAGTGTATACGCGCATGTTGGCACATCGAGAGCATCGAAGGCACTAGTACACGATCATAGGAATATTGAAATCTTATCCCGACGATGCAAACGTGCTCAATATCCAGTCCTTGAAAGTCGATCGTTGTTCGTGGACTGGGGGACTTCAAGAGCCATATGAGTTACACAAAGAATATATGAGAAACGATAGACAACTCTCAAGACAAGCTGCCATGTCCGTACTAAGGCTATGTTATTGACCATAGCGATTTTTCGACAGGCGGGTAAGAATAAGGAAAGAGAGATATTACAGAAGCAACGTAAGGAATAGAACCTGGAATACTACGGTCTGAATCATCAGGATACACTTTATTCATCTTCCCAGGCCAGAAATCTTAAAGATGTGTAACAATGATCAGGAAGAAACCTTGAGGTGCTTTCAGATACTAGTAAAAGCATCAGAATCAACATCCAGACTCCCAATTGGTGCATCATCTAGTTGAGTGTGGACATACGATCAATTCTTTCGAAGAGAATGGACGCCTGAGATGATATGAAAATAACTAAAGAGAAAGACATCATGGACAGTCCCAAAGACTCGGCCGTTTTACTTTATGAGGGCGATGACGAGGAACATGCTAAATTTCATATGAAGATTAATTTCTGACCGATTAACAAACTACATGTTTTCCGTGTCATATTTTTGATCTGGAGAAATAGAACAATCCGAAATGAGATATAACTCCATACGTACAACTACGGATTATTTCCCTTTCCAAATTTCTGTGATCGTGATGTATCACATGGGCTACTCAATTCTGAGAACTCATTTGATAAAGGATCTTTAACTCCAGAATATCATCCACAATTCCTCATCATAAGGTTGCGCAGAAACCGCGACCAGGTCATTCCATCAGAGATCCAAGATATAGATCTCACCTGGTGACTTATCTTCTAAGTTGAGTAGGAACAAAATGCTCTTCGAGGGACGATTCAAAGCTCTTTTAATGTCAAATACTATAGTGTCCAAATGAATTCCTCTCAACGTTGGAAATTTCGGGTACAGATTTCCGCATCAGTTGTGTTCTGTACTACTACCAGTACTACCGTACTACTCGCTTACGCCCCTTCATCAAGGGACCTAACTGCAATTTGATTGACATTGCAAACTTTGCGTCTCTCTCCAAATCTATCTAAATTTCAATTTGAAAAAAAAATCCTCCCATTCTCCAGTACGAAAAGGCATATCTCCCTCTCTCGATCTCATCCACAATCCACAATTCAAAACCTTAAATTGACAAACCTCTTCTTTTTTTCAGTCCTTCCTAGACACAATCTTCTCTTCGAATAAGCACTTTCATCTCCCCATCCTCTCCAAGTAAAATCCAATCACATCCACCATAAATCAGCTACCAAATCCCCTCATTTCATCCCGCACATCAAAATAAAGATCTATCACCACCCACCCACCTACCCACCAACTCAATCTCATCCCCGCCTCCATCACAAACTCAAATAATCCCTTCATCCCATCCCTCCGCTAGCCCTCCACACCAAATAAAATAAATCCATGATCCATCCCTCGTCCACCCCACTTCATCACACCCTTCGAACCCTGAAAATCGACACCAACTCCCATAATTTTCATCACGTCATGCCCCCCACTCCCATTCTCCACTATCATACTCCACTCCACTCCACTCCTCCATGATTACGAATCCCCCAGTACAACAGACAACTTGATGGCCCTCAGCACGTCATTACTCCAGTCCCTATCTGGTCTCTTTGATGCGTTGTTGTCAATAAGAATGGTTAGAGGGTCTGAAGATTGACATCACAAGAAACCAATTTTCACGCAAACTACCGGCAATGCAGATTTCACATGACAACAAATAGACAAAACAGAGTTTTTGAGTCCAAGATTTTGCCCGATTCAATTGATCCCATCTCCCTATCGCTACAATGAATTTTCCTTCCCCTCTATTTTCTCATGCCGTGGTATCATCCATCCCCCATTACAATCCTTTGTACCCCACCTATTTTCCTTTGAAACCAAAAAAGCAAGTCTAAGTAAAGCCGATCTAAATCTCATCTTTTTCTCATCTATCGCATTCCGTCCTAAAATGAATGAGTGAAGTATACGTATAAACTCCAGTCATGAACAAGTAAAGAAGAAAAAGAAAATGATAACTCCCATCTAATCCCTTCGCTTGCCCGTTAAAAGAATGTAATGATTGCGCGTTCCCTTCATTTACCGCATGTAGGCCTGGCAACCAGCGACCCCCAAACACCGACGCTTGCTATTAAGCTCCTAGCTTCCTTCAAGTACTAACACGATGTTCTGTCCACCCATCGCATTTCCAAAACCAAACGAATGAACTTTTGCATGTACATATATATACGAATGTGGCGTATATCTCTCTTCCAATCTAAACTCCATCTATAAAACCCTGTACACAATAGAACCCATCTAAAAACTAAACAATCCACTTCTCCTCTTTCCGAACGGATAGACAATTAACGCACTCAGGAAAAGACCAACAGTGATTCCAATAGCCACTTGAATCATGCTATAACCAACATTAAACACAATCGTATTTAAATCTTCAGAACTCCCAACGCTAACGGAACTTGTTCCATTAACCTTTGTCGTTCCGTTCGCATACGACGTACTATTGGTAATAGAATCCGCTGTACTCAAACCTGCAAGCAAAGAACCACTAGCAGCGAGACCAGAAGGAACTTGTACGAAAATAGCAGGTAATAGTGCAGCTGCTGCTACACCATGTCTGACTCTTGAATACAAATTACCGAGCACGCCTACAGCGAGAGCGCCGAGAGTATTGGAAATTTGTGCGCTCGAAGGGAACTTCTTTGCGGAGAAAAAGTTGACAACATAGCCTGAGAATGAGATGCCTAACATGACGGGCATCTGTTTGAATTTTGCCTGATTAATGACTGCGAGGCATAAAGTAAAGACTGGAACGAAACACCAGCGAACATATTGGTTCATTGGAGCGTCGCATGTAGTCTTACTGGTAGCGTTGGCATCCATAAGGCCATAGACAGCGGTGCCGATAGTGATACCATATCCAAGGAAAAGAGAATAAATAATTGCGTAGACCATACGAACGGAACCGGCAACCATGGAACGTGATTGAAGTTCAAGGGAACCACAGAGAACCATATAACCAGGGAGAATTAGAGCGATGGACGATTGAGCGAGGGCAGAGAAACAAAAAAGATCACCTCCTCGAATCGAACCAAAAGCTCGTGCCAAGAAAGACGTCAAGACCGCGGCTGAAATTTCGAAGACATTGGCGTAGAGATCGGATTTGGGAGCAACGATGAGTTGCAAGAAACCAAGAAGAGACCCTAATAAAAATGCAATGGGTAAATCGATGAGACGTCCTTCGAAAGCAAATGGTGCTACACTGGCACTTGCAAAACCATATACCATGACCAAAAACCAAGGATGATACTTTGGCTTCGCATGAATGATCGCATCCAATCGCTGTGTGGCTTCCTCAACACCGATAACATCATGCACTACCTCTTTGTATATTTCGTGAACATCTTTCAATTTGCCAAGATCAACTCCTTGTACAGATCTAACGAGCTTTACTTCGGTGGTGTGAGTTGATGCATCATCAAAAGAAATGATCATACAGCCAGGTATGTAGAGGACTTGAGCATCAATCTCAAGAACTCTAGCTGTCATCTTCATATATTCTTCCAGACGATGTGTTGGTGCTCCGTATGTCATTAGTGCTCGACAAAGTTTCAATAGATATTTTTGTCTGCTTAAAGTCTCCGCGATATGGATAGTGATTCGAATTTCGTCCTCCAATCTTGGCTTTCCAGCCAGTTGTCTAGCGGCTGTCTCAATAAGTCTGCCACTGTTTGTACGTTTTCCCATTCCAGGTCTTGGAACCTTCTTCTTGGGCGTATAGGTTCCTCCAACAGGCGCAGCTAACATCGCAGATGCTTCCATAAGACCAGCGAGAGTATCTTGAGATTGACTCTTTTGATGGTACCATTTTGCATTCTTCTTTGGAGTTGTAACTCCTGAAGATCCGAGGGAAACTGGGAGAGTGCCTTCGGAACCATCACTGTTTCTTCTTGAAGCTGGAACACTCATGGTTCCATTGGCGGGTGCATTATAAAGCTTTAGCAGTGATGAAAGAACACCACCTCTAAATTGTTGAGGTCGTGGAACATACTCTTCCATGATACCATGTTCATCTTCGGGTGTGACTTGACCAGAAACCAACCCTGGACGTGGTACGGGCATTTTGAATGCATCTTTTCGACCTTTGCTTGTGTGAGATCTGACGAGTTTATGTGCTTCGGTCGAACTCGATTCTTTCGTCTTTCCGTTCTGAATGTCATCGTCGCTATCTGCTCCATCATATGGTCTACTGTCCATTGGAACGAGTGGAATGTCGTCGATTCGAACTGGAAGACCGCCAGGGTTCCTTGGTCGTGGAGATGGGTAATCGTCTGCGTCGTCGTCTATACTATTTCTTCTCGAGTTCGGTGTCGAGTGACTTCCAACCAGCGAAGCAATTCTCTGAGCTCTACTCTGAGCAGCCAAAGCAGAGAATGTCTTCTCATTGCTCTCTTCCACATCCGATAGATCTGCCTTGTATCCTCCACCAGGGTTGTTTCTTAATACACTCGGTCTCGGTTTGCTGACAGGTGTTGGTGGAACTGGGCTATTATTGATAACTGCTAAATCTGAGAATGGGTTATCCTTTTCCTTATCGGGTGTGAATCTCATCAACGAATTGGAACTACTGTTTCTTGAATGAGATGGTGTGTATTTGGCGGATTTTGGCATTGATAACTGATGTAGCATTCTCTGAGGCGAGACAGACTTATCCCTCAATGGGTGAAGGGACTTCTTGTTTTCCGAATCATTTGCTTCGTTGGTGGCATTGAATCTGACTCTTCCTCGATTTTTTGGTGGATTTCCTCCTGCACTGTTCGGTCTGCTTGGGGATGCACTGTTGATTCCACTGTTGAGTCCACTGTTGATTGCACTTCCATTTGTACTATCAGATGGGCTGACATCTCCAGATACTAGTTCCCTATAGGTGGTGGGAATATTTTCGTTATTGCTTCCGCTCGACGAGACATTTTCGCCGGACATTGTATATACTGTTGGGTTTCGATGTT